TGCTGGGCTTCGAGGTCAAACAAAGACCACGGCACAAAGCTCTCGCCAATGTACTGGGCAATTTCGTGGCGTTTCCCGGCACATTCATATGTGTCCCGGTTCTGGCATTTTCCTTCAAAATGGATGCTGGCGCCAGAGCCATCAGCAAGCTGAATGTTGACTGTATCTCCGTCTTGGAAGACATCTCCATTGGTAAAACCAAGCCCATTATTGGTCAGTTCAAAGGGCAGGTCAGGGCATTGTTGTGCTGAAGTTGTTGTGGTGGGACGCGCCGTCGTGGTGGTTGTGGTGGTGGGGCGAGCAGTGGTCGTGGTCGTGGTGGTGGGACGCGCTGTCGTGGTGGTCGTGGTCGTGGGGCGAGCAGTAGTGGTCGTGGTCGTGGTTGGCTGCACTGGTTCGTTGCAGTGGGGTTCTTCACTTTCCACTTCACGTGGTGCTACGCATCGATAGTCCACCTGCAGGTATTTGTACGTGTCGACACAGGGGTCCTGGCCAACAAAAGCATTGCACGCTGTCAAAGCGCATGATTCTTGGCCTTGGCACTGACGCTCCACATATGCTTCGATATCAAGAAAACATTGGTCATAGACCATGCTGTTGGCGCGGTGCAGAGGATCCTCGCAGGTGGTCGTGTCCATCCGACCATAGAAAGCACCAGCCACCTGAATGACAAGTCCGGGACCACAGTCAAGGGCCATTTGGGCCGACTCCTGATCGCAGGCCTCTTTGGGTGCAGCTTCACAAGCCACCTCTCGCAGGCAGGTATCGGCAGGCTTGGTGGTTGGGCGAGCGGTCGTCGTCGTTGTCGTGGTGGTAGTTGGGCGAGCGGTCGAAGTCGTGGTGACGACAGAGTCGCATGCCTCAATCACAATCTCCATCGCGTCAATCACAAAGTACTCGCTGTCGCCCTTCATCTGTTGTTTGACACCAAAAGCGACGACAAACTCTGCCGAGGTATAAGATGAAATGTCATACGTACGAGTCAGAGTATTGCCCCTGCAATCCGCAGCCCGAATAAAGTCGAGGTACTGGACCGTGTTACCGTGATCGGGGCTGACAGCGATAAACCCTTTGTCATCGTCCTCCACATCGCCAACGAAGTGAAAGGTGACTGCAAGCTGAGCTGACCGCACGTTTCGCAGATTTGCCAGACGATAAGCATAGGTATCGCCCGATCCATCGCTTTGACCGTGAAGATAAAGATCTCCGTTATAAACCAAGGCATAACCGCCAGCTGAGCCGTGGCCCTTGACGTCATACTCTTGCCACGATGTCGCAAAGTGAAGCGAGCCATCATTGCCAGAATAGCCACCTGAGCTGAAGTTGTCCTTGTATGATCCTGTTCGGCAAATGTCTGAGTCGACTGTTGTAGTGGTGGTGGTAGGGGCACGAGTGGTGGCGGGAGCCCGAGTAGTGTCCTGCGTCTCGCAAAGGCTGCCCGAGTATCCATCCGCACACTTGCAGTAGGCCCAGCCGAGCCAAGTGTCGCAGGTTCCGCCATTCTTGCAGTCGACCGAGTTGCACGGATCCCATTTGGTGGTTGGGGTGGGTGTGGTGGTGATACGAGTCTCGCACTGGGACCCGGAGTAGCCATCCTTGCAGTCACAGTACGCACGACCGTTGGAAATGCGGCAGGTACCGCCGTTTTTGCAAGTGTGCGAGTCGCAGGGGTTAGGGGTGGTGGTGGGAGCCCGGGTAGTGGTGGTGGTGGTGGTGGTGGTGGTAGGGGCGCGGGTGGTCGTGGGAGCCCGAGTCGTGTCCTGCGTCTCGCANAGGCTGCCCGAGTATCCATCCGCACACTTGCAGTAGGCCCAGCCGAGCCAAGTGTCGCAGGTTCC